ATCATTAATTAAAATTCTTTAAATATTAATCCAAATATAAATTGTTCAAACATAAATAAAGATCAATCTAACATAAATACCTAAAAGGTTAATAATGGGTTGGATAAAATTGACTTAACTTTAAATTTTATTGAATTGGATTTGGGTTTGAACGTTGAATTAAGTTTAAAATAAAATTAATTTACATATTTTTTAAATTTTTCACGGGGATGGGGATCCCCAAGGGTCCCGTGGGGCGGGGAAAATTCCCTTCAAATATTCACGGGGGGAAAATGCCCTTCATCCCTGCCTCGTCCCTGTGGTGGGGATCCCTACAGGGCCTCGCGAGGATCGGGGCAAATAGCTTTCCCTAGCAACAAGGGACATGTTGCTGAAAAGGATGTCACAATTCCAATGGCTGGATGCAATAAGTATTTTTAGCAACATAAGCCATGTCAGTGAAGTCATACTTTCAGCAACGAGAATTTGTTAAAAGAGGTGGAAAATTCCAGTGATCGACTCTAGTGACTTTTTTAGCAACATAAGCCACATCGGTAAAACTCCATCTTTAGTAACAAGGGGTATGTTGCTGAATAGGGGGCCATGAATCAGTAACATGAAGCTTGTTGTTGATGTATTACCTACCAAAGCTTCTCCAACAAAGACATTAGCAACATGGTTCTTATTGCTAAAGTACTTTCGGCAACATGGGAAGCACTTTCATCAACGTGCTACCATGTTGCTAAAAATTAGATTTTTAGTAGTGTAAATTTGCCTATATAGCAATTATACTAAAATTAATGTCAATTTTTAGAGTTTCTATATGTATTAATAATAAAAATATACTTTTAACCTAGATAAAAGTGCACCTTTATCCTTTTGTATGTTGATGGGAGATGTTAGAAAAACCATCCTTTTAAGGATGACATTTAATATTCATCTTATTTTAATATTATTTTGAGGAATTTTCTATTGAAAGATATAACTATTCCATCATTTTCACATAATTAGTATTGAAAAATACAAAAACTATTATTAATTTCATTATCAGTGTCACATAGATTATTTTAATTAGATAATTGTTTAAATTATATCAACTTTTACTTTTTAAGTACTAAGTAATGTAAAAAAGTGCAATAATTGTACCTTATGGTATATGTTAAAAAATCTTTATTTTAAAAAGATAATTATAATACAAATTAAATTAAAAATATTATTTAAATAGTGATTAATTAAAAATAAATGTGAAATTTTATTAATTAATTATTATATCTTTATTTTATTAAAAAACTAAATATACTACAGTTAAATAGCAAAAATAATTACAATGATATATAATAATATAAATATACAATAATAATATATTATTATATAATTAAATTTTTTTATTTAAAAACCCATTAATAATATTCTTACTTTACATTCTAAGTATCATAGGATTGCCATTTCATTAGAGTGGGCTGGATTTTGCACCATAGAAGATTGCCCACAAAATAAATAAATATTTTTATTGAGAAAATGAAAAATAAAGATATTTTAATATTAAAAATATCAAAATATTTAATTATAATAATTAAATATATAACATATAATATAAAGTTTAATTTTATTAAATTTATCATATAATCAATATTAGATTTTTTAATATTTTTAATATTAACATAGTTCGTTTTTTTTTTCTTGTTTTTTTGCACACAAAACAAAGGATTTAAATCACAATCATGTTGGCAAAAGATAAAAAAAATGGTCACGGTTAACGTTGAAAAATAACTCAAAGGACTCAATCAATTGGAGTCATTAGGATTTCATTAATGATAAAATAAGTACAGAGTTTAAAATTCAATATCAAATCCCTTTTATGATTCCCTGAGATCCTTTTAACTGTTACCTGGAGATCTTTCCTAAATCCTCATCTAATTGATCCTTTCTATAATTTAAATTCAAAATTGCAAATAATCTCTAAATGATCTATTTTAATCATGTGACCTTTGATTTTTCTCCAATATTGAGTTATGGTTACAACACATGGCCCCCATTGAGAAATTAGAGTAACTAAAAATTTTTTGTACCTTCGATTTTCCTCAATGGTGTTCATTGTGTAGCTTGATGATGTCATCTAAAACCACTGATTGCCCAAGAAAAACAAAATGTAGTGTAAAGGTTCCAAATTCAAATTTAATTCCAATGTTGGGATTTTAAATTTTTAATGTAGAGTTTTGGGTTTAATAGTTTAGCATATAGAGGTCTTAAAATTTTACGTGCAAAGGTATTTGATAGCTCTGCATAAAAAGGTCTTAGAATTTTTACTTGCAAAAGTCTTTGATACCTCTACATATGGAGGTTTTAAAATTTTACTTATGAAGGTTTTTGATACTTCTACATACAAAGATTTTAGAATTTTTATCTACAAAGGTCTTTAATACCTCAGCATATAAAGATCTTGGATAACTCTACCTTCAAAGAAATTAGATATTTTCAAGTGAAGTTTCCAAAAATATAAAAAATTCTTGGCCGAGACACCCAAAAACATAACAATTCTTTGGGTAAGCAAATTTCCAGCCACACAACCTTTTTTTTTGGCCAAACTCTCTCTCTCTCTTGGACTTTTCCTCTCACCTTTTGCATTTTCATAAGCATTGGAACTCAGAGTCTTTAACGTACCTTCCATTCATGACATCTAGTGACTCAACTACTCGTGGATCTCCCATTATTACTATTGGTGACCCTATATAGGGCGAGACACTAACCATAGTGGACAATTGATTTGATTCTAAGATCGGCTTTGATGAGTTATACACTTATATTGGATCAACCTAGATATCAAAATGGCAATTTATCCTTTGATCTCTATCGTTAGCTTATGATTTCCCAAGGGTGGACAAACTCTCCAAATAGTGCTACTCTGAGAATATACATGAGGGTGAGGAATCTAACAAGATACCTAGTCTAAGAGCTCTCATGTAGAGGTTAAATTTAGATATATTCATGTAACTAATCTTTGAATAATAAGCTTAAAAGATTTTGAACTTTGGTTTCTTATATTTGCCAAAAATTTTACCAACTTACTTTTTAGGAAATTGATTTAGTAGGACACCATCTTAGACTAATAGTGTCTCAATTTTCAATGAGAAAACCATTGCAACTAATTTTCCTCAGGCCCTAAGGTTAACTAGCTATGCACCACTTGTCGATGGCAATTTCCTAGGATTGCTCCTTAACCTTTAAAACAAAGTTAAAGTTATATGAATTTGTGTAATAATATAATCATCAAGAAATTGGGATGTTATTAAAAGTGATTTAAGACAATTGAAGAGGTTATACAAATTGACTTTATTCAGATTCATCACTTGTTTTATCAAACCTGCATTTTTTACTACCCTTAATAGTCGGATTGGGCCTTAAGGCTTCTAAGCATCTCCTCATTGTAGCATGCTCTTTAGCTTGAATATAGCCCTCTGACCTATGAAGTATGTCTTTGAGGCTTTTTGGCTTTTCTCTATTAAGAGAATGTAGGAAATGACAATCCTCAAGGTCGTTCATCAAGGCATGCATTGCTACTACTTCATCTAAATTGTTCACCTGTAAAGATTCGTTATGCAAATGAGCAATGTATGCTCTCAAACTCTCATTAGTTTGTTGTTTTATGCCCATCAAATGGTCGTTAGTTTTTTTTTTTTTTTTGGACTTTACTAGCAATCAAATGTTCAATAGCACATTTTTCTAATTGCTCAAAAGAGTTAATAAACCTAGCTTTTAACTTAAAGTACTAGGTCTGAGCTACTTTCTTCAGTGTAGAAGGGAACACTCTGTACAATAATGCGTTAAATGCCCATAGATCATCGTTGCTAGCTTGTAACATTGCAAATGCTCTATCAAGTCTTGTGTTCCATCATATTGTGTTAACTAAGGTGGCTTGAATGATTGAGGCATGGGCTCTTTAATTATCTTGCCACAGAATGGATCACTTATCAGAGCTCTTTGTAGAGCATATGTTGTCTTTTGTTGTGTTATTCACAACTTTACCATTTGTTGGTGTAATGTTTCCATTTCCTTTTGCAAAGTCTCATTTTGCTCCCTAAGGGAGTCTCGTGTGTGACTTAATTGCACCTTGCAATTTGATGTCAATGTTTTATCCTTTGAATTGGCTTGTGTAGTTCATCACCCCTAAAATGATGTTGGGTTGGGACTCGACTTTTAACTTAGGAGCATTTGCACTCACAAAGCCTCATGTCCAAGTGTCAAAACATGTGCCAACTTGCGAGGACGGAAGTCCCAATGTAGGGTTGAAAAAGTTGAGGTTGGCTTTAGCATGTTGATATTGTCTACACTTGTCAATTGTTGTGATGGGACATAGTTAGGATCATTTTCTTGCATTTCCATATTTGAACCTTTGTTTTGCACCAAGGCAAACAAAAGATCCTGTGATTGAGAGGTGTGCCATTGATATCTGAACATTTGTGATAGAGAGTAGCTCCTTTGGTGAGAACCCCAAAGAGAACAATGTGACCCACAATGTGACAAGGGATTTCTAAACTCCAGAAAAGCCAAATCAGGTTTATAATAGGACCTTGACTCGTTGTTTATGTCATAACAATAACCAAAGGTAAAAACCTTGACCCGTTGTCTATGACGCCACAAGAACCAGAGGTATAAAGTTGGTTGACGCCACACCCTCGAACGATTAAGAACGAGACTGATAAGTTTGGTTAAAACGCCATAAGAATAATCTTGATAAGTTCTGTAAAATTCTAAAACGAACCAAAGAGAAAAGTCTCTCAAAAACTCAAATTCAATAACCCCCCCCAATTAGGGTTACAAGCCCTTTAAATAGAGAAAAGTAATTCTAATTAGAATAGGAAACTAACACCCTAAACCCTAATCCTAATAACCACGAATTATGTCTCATATAACTGAATGTTCAGCCCAAAATAATACAAAAAATGTGAAAATCACTAAAAGTAACTTAAAGTAAGATGAAATATTAAATTGTTACAAATTGCGACAGAATTACGAGATTTTGACACAAATTGTGTAATTTAATACAAATGACCTCAATTAAGGTTCTCTTGAATCTGAATAATGTTTACCATGCCTTGATAATCATTCAAGCTTCGATTTACTTGTTGCATGTTATTATCAACCTAGATCTGGTTAATAAGGCTATTTAAAGCTTCTCGCATCTTCCTAGCTCTAGCTCTCGTGACTAGACCTCTTGGAATGTGTAATGGATCTTTTGACGTGGTACATGTGGGGTCATCTTGATTCCCATATTCCCTCTCTCCTCAAAAGGATTTGTCCTCAAATCGTCACCTACATCAAAAGGAGAAAGATCAGAAACATTAAAAGTAGCACTAACATTATACTCACCAAGAAGCTCCAACTTGTATGCGTTGTCGTTTATCCTTGCAATCACTTGAAATGGTCCATCACCTCTTGGTTGCCACTTAGAATGCCTTTGTGCAGGGAATTGCTCCTTCCACATATGCACCCAAACCCAATCTCCAAGTTCAAACACAACTTTCTTGCGCCCTTTGTTGTCTTGATTTGCATATTGCTCAGTTCGTCGTTCTATGTTTTGTCGCACCCTTTCATGTAGTTGCATAACCATTTCAACTTTATTTTTCCCATCCAAACTAGCTCATTCATCAATGGGTAATGGCAATAAATCCAAAGGGGTGAGTGGATTAAAATCATACACAACTTCAAATGGTGAATAGTTACTTGCTGAATGGACACTCCGATTATAAGCAAATTCAACATGCGGCAAACATTCTTCCCAATTCTTCAAGTTTTTTTGAATAATAAAACACAATAACGTTGACAATGTTTTATTAACCACTTCTGTTTGTCCATCAGTTTGTGGATAACAAGTAATCAAAAACAATAGCTTAGTTCCCAACTTTCCCACAAGGTCTTCCAAAAGTAACTCAAGAACTTAACATCGCGATCAGAAACAATAGTCCTTGGAACACCATGTAAACGAACAACTTCCTTGAAGAATAGATCAGCAATATTAGTTGCATCATCGATTTTATGACATGGAATGAAGTGTGCCATCTTTGAGAACCTGTCAACAACAACAAAAATAGAATCGCGGCCTCTTTTCGACCTTGGTAAGCCCAGAACAAAATCCATAGATATATCAACCCAAGGTTCAGTAGGTATGGGTAAGGAAGTATACAAACCATGTGGTAAAACTCTAGATTTTGCTTGTTTACATGTTACGCACCTTTCACACATCCTTTCAATATCGCGTTTCATATGTGGCCAAAACAAAATCCATAAATATAACCCAAGGTTCAGTAGATATGGGTAAGAGAGTATACAAACCATGTGGTAAAACTCTAGATTTTGCTTGTTTACATGTTACGCACCTTTCACACATCCTTTCAACATCGCGTTTCATATGTGGCCAAAAGAAGTGATCATTTAGAATATCTAAAGTTTTCCTAACTCCAAAATGTCCCATTAAGCCACCCGCATGTGATTCCTTTATTAACAATTCTATTAATAAACAATTAGTCACACATAATCGATTTTCTCTAAATAAGAACCCATCATGCCTATAAAACTTATCAAAAGCTGCCTTCTCACGTGCATTAAACACATTTGCAAAATTTGGATCATTAGTATATAATTCTTTAATGTGCTCAAATCCTAATAACTTTGTACTTAGAGTAGAGATAAGTGTGTACTTACAAGATAATGCATCAGCCACAATGTTTTCTTTTCCTTGCTTGTACTTGATCACATAGGGAAATGTCTCAAGAAATTCCACCCACTTAGCATGTTGTCCATTCAACTTACCTTGTCCCTTGAGGTGCTTCAACGACTCATGACTAGTATGTATCATGAACTCCTTAGGCCAAAGATAATGTTGCCACGTTTCTAAGGCCCTTACCAATGCATACATCTCTTTGTCATATGTAGTAGAGTTAAGTGCTGCACCAGTCAATTTTTCATTGAAAAACGCAATAGGCCACCACTCTTGCATCAAAACAACGCCAATGCCAATACTTGATATATCACATTCAATTTCAAAAGTTTTAGTAAAATTAAGTAAAGCAAGTAATGGTGTCGAAATTAAATTTTCCTTAATCAAATTGAAACCATTCTCCTGTCCGACACTTTTTTTTCACGATTTCAGTCAATGGAGCTGTAATTGTGCTGAAGTCATTGATGAATATCCGGTAGAAACTTACCAAACCATGAAAACTCCGCACCTCAAAAATATTCTTAGGTGTTGGCCATTCTTTAATAGCCTTAATCTTTTCTTCCTCTACTACAATTCCATCAGCTAAAATAACATACCCTAAAAAGGCAATCTGATGTGTGCTAAAGGAACACTTTTTAAGGTTAGCAAACAACTTTTCTTTTCTTATAACCTTTAATACCATTTGCAGATGCTCAATATGATTAGTTAAACTCTTATTATATATTAGAATGTCATCAAAATAAACAACCACAAATTTGCTAATGAAAGCACGCAAAAGATGATTCATTAATCGCATAAATGTACTAAGTGCACTAGTTAATTCAAATGGCATAACTAACCACTCATATAAACCATGTTTCATTTTAAAGGATGTTTTCCATTCATCACCTTCCTTCATCCTAATCTAATGATACCCACTTTTTAAATCGATTTTAGTGAATATGTAAGAACCATGCAGTTCATCTAGCATGTCATCTAATCTAGGAATATGGTGACGATACTTTACAGTGATTTTGTTGACAGCAAAACAATCAACGCACATACGCCAAGTCCCATCCTTCTTAGGCACAAGTAGCATTGGAACTGCACATGGACTCATGCTTTTTCTTACATGCCCCTTCTTCATGAGTTCTTCAACCTACTTTTGAAGTTCTTTCGCCTCATTGGGGTTGCTTCAATATGCTAGTCGGTTTGGAATTGTTGCACCTGGAATGAAGTCAATCTGATGCTAAATTCCTTTTATTAGTGGTAAACCATTAGGGATATCCTCTGGAAACACGTCCTTGAAGTCCTACAAAAGAGATTTAACAACACTAGGCAAAGAATCATTAAGTTCGTTATGGTTGAAATAAGTATCTTTATACAAAAGCACAAACATAGGCTGCTTTGCAAAGAACGCAACCTTGACATTACTTTCTTTTGCATAAACACTCACTGATTTTGTTTCTTTGTTTTCAACACTCAATCTTTTTTCTTTTTGGACTCTTTTTCTACTGTTTTCTCTTTGTTTTTCATACCCTCAAGCTCACTTTCATTTCTCAGCTCACTCTCTTTTTTTACTCTCAGTTGATCCTCATAAACCTGCCTTGGACTCAATGGTGCAAGAGTAATTGTTTTCCCCTCCATGACAAATGGATAGCAAATTTTGAAGCCATCATGTGTTAGCCTTTTATCATGTGGCCATGGTCTCCCTAAAAGTAAATGTCCAGCATGCATAGGAACCATGTCATAAAGTACCTCATCCTTATATCGTCCAATAGATAATGAAACCAGAACTTGCTTATTTACCTTGATTTCTCCACAATCATTTAACTATTGCAGCTTATATGGCCTTGGATGCTTCATCACAGGTAAATTAAGCTTTTCAACTAAAATAGTGCTAGCTACATTAGTACAACTACCACCATCAATAATCACACTACATACCTTGTTTTTGACATGGCACCCCGTGTGAAATATATTCTCACATTGTACTTCATCATCTGCTTTGGCTTGCACATTCAAAGCTCGCCTAGTCACGAGCAGTTCTCCATCAACAACATATTCCACACCATCATTAGCATCTTTTAATGGTGGCATAGATTCATCATCATATACACCCTCGATTTCAATTTCTCCATCTTTTCTCAATATCATCGTGTGCTTACTAGGACATTGCGATGCAACATGCCCCCTTCCCAAGCATCGAAAACACTTAATGTCTCGAGTTTTGCCTTATCTATTATCTGTTTACTCTTCTCATTGCTATCAACTTTTTTTGACTTATATGCTACAGTTTTGGGCTTAAAAGCAGAATTTTCTTCCTTTTTGCTCCAATTCAATTAGAAGATGAAGAACCTGAATTTTGCCCAGTTCTACTAGTGGCTCCTCTACGCTTGAGTTGTCGTTGTACTTTCATCGCCATATGCACCATATCTTCTAATTCCACATAATGCTGCAGCTCTACCACATTACTTATATCACGATTTAACCATGCAGAAACTGTGCCATAGTTGCTTCTCTGTCCTCTTCCACATTCGCTCTAACCATTGCAATTTCCATCTCTTTGTGATAATCCTCAACACTTTTGGACCCTTGAGTAAGGCCCTGCAATCGCTGATACAGAGCACAGTAGTAGTGACTAGGAACAAATCGTTTTCTCATCACAGCTTTAATCTCTTCCTAAGTGTCAACAGGACGTTCTCGATTTCTACATAGACTAAGCACAAGCTGATCCCACCACACCATAGCGTAATCAGTAAATTCTACAGCTACTAGTTTCACCTTTTTCTTCTGAAAATAGTTATGGCAATCAAACACCAATTCCACCTTCTTTTCCCACTCTAAATACACATCTGGATCATTTTTGCCTTGAAACGGAGGAATCTTCATCTTGATGCTACCTAAGTCACCATCTTGCCGATCTCCCCACCTCGTCAAATTTTGCTTTCTCTGGCCCCCTCTACCTCTCATAATTCTGTTCATGCTGAAATTTGAGTTCTGGGTCTCATTGTTGAGTGCATCTTCATAATCGTCATTGAAATCGTCATTAGCATCATTCCTACGCAAATTCGGACTTCCATTCTGTGTTTGGTATAACTTGGCTATCGCTGCATCTTGCTTGTCCATTTTGTCTTTAATCTCACCAAACATTATGTCCAGCCTCTGAAATTGTTGTTGCATTGCTTTGAGCATGAAGGATTCATCCACATGGTGGCTTCTAGTGGTTGATTGTCATCACTGCTTGACATGATTGAAACCTGCAACGAATGTTAGAAATAGAAAAATAAAAGGACCTCACAACACTCCCTTACGTGTTTCACTCCACTCTCTCACAGAATGGCACTCAATGCTCGTGTTTTACACACTGTAGAACTTGGCTTTTCTCTCAAGTGTTGCTGACACCTCTTGCCTTTTTCCTTCACTCAACTTTCCTCTTTCAGTTCGTTATTGAACTAAACAAGCTCAATTCAAGTTATTTTGAAGCAATCTAACTCCAGCAAATTTGCAAGAGGTAAAGGAAATAAAGAGACATAAAGGAATGCATAAGAAAAGCAATAAAAGAACCAAACCCAAAACAAATTAAAACGAAAAAATTAGTTCAAGCACTTCCTCGTAGGAATTGACTTGACTATTCCTTAATGCAGTAGGATTCCTAACTAAGGAATAAACAAAAATTGCTATTTCCTTGTTTGAATAGAACTCACGAGAATTTCCAACTCCTTATTGGAGTTGGATTCCTTCTTTTTTAAGGATTTGGACATAAATTTCTTCTCTGTATAAGGAATTCTAACCATAGAATTGTGTTACTTGTTTCTCTCTCTCTCTCTGTTTTTTTTTTTGGCGATCCTGTTCCCTTTTTTTTTTGTACGACTTCTTCCCTTTTTTTTTTTCTTATTTTTGTGTTTTCTCTCTCTCTCTCTTTTTTTTTTGGAACTAGCAACACAGATTCAAAAGAGAAAAATAAGAAAAAGAAGGACACTGAAATTTTTTTTTTCTTTTGTTTTTGAAGATAAAAACTAAAAATTAAAGATACGCAAACCTGATTTAGGATTTGATGCTCTGATACCAAGATGATGAGAACCCTAAAGAGAACAATGAGACCCACAGCACGACAAGGGATTTCTAAACTCCAGGAAAGCCAAATCAGGTTTATAATAGGACCTTAACCTGTTGTTTATGTCGCAACAAGAACCAAAGGTAAAACCTTGACCCATTGTCTATGACACAACAAGAACCAGAGGTATAAAGTTGGTTGATGCCACACCCTCAAACGATTAAGAATGAGAATGAGAAGTCCGATTAGAACGCCACAAGAATAATCTTGATAAATTCTGTAAAGTTCTGAAATGAACCAAAAAGAAAAGTCGCTCAAAAACTTATATTCAATAGCCCCCCCAATTAGGGTTACAAGCCCTTTAAATAGAGAAAAGTAATTCTAATCAGAATAGGAAACTAACTTCCTAAGCCCTAATCCTAATAACCACGAATTAAGCCTCAAATAAATGAATGTTCAGCTCAAAATAATACAAAAAACCTGAAAATCACTAAAAGTAACCTAAAGTAACATTAAATATTAGTTTGTTACAAATTGCGACAGAATTGCGGGATTTTGACACAAACTGTGTAATTTAGCATAAATGACCTCAATTAAGCTTCTCTTGAATATGAATGATGTTTACCATGCCTTGATAATCATCCAAGCTTCGATTTACTTGTTGCATGTTATTATCAACCCAGATCTGCTCAATAAGGCCATTTAAAACTTCTCGCATCTTCTTAACTCTTGCTCTCGTGAATGGACCTCCTAGAATGTGTAATGGATCTCTTAACATGTTACATGTGGGGTCATCTTGATTCCCATCATCCTTGGTGGTACACGAGCTCGACATGCATGGATCCATGATAAACGTAGTTGGACATGGTTTTCTATTAGAAACATCACATTTGCACAATTGCGTGTATACTTCTCTCAATTTTTGCCATATTATGGATGAGGTGTTGAATTTCATATTCTATTATATTTTTGGGCGTCGTCAACATAGGCCTAGACGAACTTGATTTTAGGGCTCGCCAAGTAAAAGTTCATGAAGATGAAAATGGGGTTGCATTGGAACTTGCATCATGTTGATTTCGGTGATTGTTAGCCATTGCTTAATTATAATGGTTCATCGTGTGTGATAATTGGTCCCATTGTAGGCGCAAAATGTTAACACTGAAATATAAGTCAAAGGACTCAATCAATTGGAGTTATGGCATTAATGGTAGAAGAAATATAGAGTTTGACATTCATTATCTAATCCATTTTGCGATTCTCTAAGATCTTTTTAATCTTTGCATTGAGATCTTTCCCAAATCCCCATCTACCCTACTTATAATGTTTTTTTGAATAAATTTGTAAAAAATCGAATTTGAACTGTTGTAAAAAAAAAAAAAGAATGTACTTTACGAGTGTAACCAAAGTCCCAAGTGCAATCCTATTTATAATTTAAATTCAAAATTACAAGTAATTTAAAATATCTATTCTAATCACGTGACACTTATTTTCTTTCGATATTGAGTTACAGTTACGAGAGTCACAATCACAACTTTCAAATTAGAGGAATCTAAGTTATCTTACAAGCCCCAACCGCGTAAAATTTTCCATTTGTTTCCCATTTCCCCATCAATTCCCCGAGAAAAAAAGGAGCCCCGATATATCCATTTCCATCATAATTCCTTCTCTTTCCCCCATCTCCCACCGTCTTCCCCTTCGTTCTCTCCGTTCTGCCTAAATTGATCTTTAAAATCCATTTTGTTTCTGGTACATAAACCCTGTATTTTCAAATCAGTTTCTGAAATTCAGATCCTCTCTCCTTTTTCAACGTCAGAGGCAGCATTTCTTTGATTCCATGAGTCGCTACGATTCTAACCCGTTTGAAGAGGAAGAGGTGAATCCTTTCTCGGTAAGTGACGCAGAAATTTGCTTTTGCATACTTTTAACTCTGTTCAAACCTTTGCATTTGTCTATCATCATGGATTTGCGCGGTTCGATTTTAAGATTTTGTTGATCTGGATGATTGGCTGGATTAATTGATAGATCTGTTTGATTTTTATGGAAATGGTTTAGTTTTACTTTTCTTTTTTTGTTGATTTCTGTAATGTAGTTTTAGTAGCTGTTTTCTTCTGTAGATTTTGTATATGCAATTAAGGATCTGTTTGTTCGCTGGAAAAGAAATCGGAATCGAGAGAAAAACAAGATTTCAGTCTTAAGAGTATCTGCAAATGCTTTCATTTTGTGAAGGACTGGAGATTGAAACTATTCTGTAATGTAGTTACAATAGCTGCGTCCTTCTGAAGATTTTAAATATAATAATCACCATTTTGGTCCCTTTATTTTTTGGAATTTTACTAGATATTTGTTGAAAATAATCTATAATTTGATTCAGTCTCGCATTTTGTGATAAATTATCAAGCACACAACAAAATTAATAAAAAGGACATATATGCTTTTAATTTTCATATGCTGGTTGCTTTGGTGAAAGCTATTTCATGTTTTTCTTAAGAATGACGGTGCTCTATTTGGTGAAACTAATTAATGGGATTTAATGCTTTATTTATTTATTTAATAGACCTTATAGAAGTTTATGGCAGTATATCCATAAATGGTTATATACTTATTTCAGGACCCAAAAGTGAGGAAAGGAGCGAGGCAACCAAATTATGGTGGAGGTGCCTTTTATACAACAGTAAGTTCTCTCCTCCAATGTTTTGGTTTACTCTACTTTTATAAGGTGGAATTAGTTCTTGAGATCTGTTGAAGGATTGTAGAGATAAACTTACTTTTCTTGAGGCAGTAAAATTTTGAAATGGCTAAAAAGTCATATATCGCATAATTTTTGAGAATATGGCCTATTAAATCCTCATCATAGACAAAGTGTGGCATAAATCTTTATAGTTCATACTGAACTTTGAGTTTTTCTCTTATAGAAGTCCTATACTTTGTGCTTATAGTATTGTCTCATGCCTGTTTCCTCCTTTTTTTTTTTTGGTATATATATTTTTGGTAAATTTCAAGAATCCTGGAAGTGTCCCTCCTGCAACCTCAAGGCTTTCACCCCTTCCTCCTGAACCATATGAAGGTGGTGCTACAGTAGATATTCCTCTTGATTCAGCAAAGGTATCCTGAAACTATCAAAATGTTGAATGTCCGGGTACTCGTTTGCTGTTTTCTGTTTGAGAAAAATATTTCCTTTTAACACATTCTTTACTTAACTTTAGGATTTGAAATCAAAGGAGAAGGAACTCCATGCAAAAGAGGCTGAATTGAAAAAGAGGGAACAGGTAATTATTGCTATATGGAAACTATGGAGCAATTCTTGCATTTAACCAATTATATATTTTTTTTCAGGGTTACAATTTGTCTTAGACATTACTGTTGCATGTTGTAACCATAGGCATGTATGTCATTGATGCTTTGTTTCTGAAACATGGTCAGATTTAATCTTAATTTTTATTTATGGGGAAATCTGTAGATCATGTTTCATGTTTGTGATATGTGTTCTTTTTGTGATTTTATACTTGACAACTGTATTCTGTAGATTGGTTTTCCCTCTTTACTTTGCCTCTAGAATTACTTATGTAATAGGAACTGAGACTATTGACTATCATCTTCTCTTTTTTGACGCAGGAACTAAAACGCAGGGAAGATGCAATAGCACGGGGTATGCCCATTTGCATTTTTATGTGTTTAGATATATTTTTGTGTTTTAACTGCTTGATTAGCCTATTCATTGCCAAGCAGATTCTAATATTTGCCTTTGCCCTTGTTTCGTCAGCCGGAATTGTGATAGAGGAGAAAAATTGGCCACCCTATTTTCCTATTATCCATCATGATATTTCAAATGAGATTCCAATTCACCTACAAAAGTTGCAGTATGTTGCATTCACAACATTATTAGGTAAGATAACTTTGAGTTTTTGTTCTTTGATTTAACTGTTCTAGTGCCTGGGTATGGCACTGAACTCCTCTTCCATTATTAGACATCTTGATGCCCCTTGTCTTTAGATTGTATGTGTTCATCTTGTTAATATTTGAACATGCTTTTAGCATTTAGTAAATTGGGCTTGTTCCTAGGTATTATCACAAATGTATGTGGCCAAAAAATATCACAAATGTAGTCCACCAGTGTCTATGAATCTATATGCTACTGTACTGATTCTGTGTTCAGACTTCAGCATCCATATGAAGATCTTGTTCCTTCTTTTATTTAACTCATTTTGAAGACAAAGGTATATTGTTTGGTATGAGGACCAACTTTGTCCATTCCAAATTTTCTGATATTAGGTTTTGAAGAATATTTCTTTTGTTATTTTTAATGTATTTGCTGGTTCCTAAGAAATAACTTACACAAATTTCATCATGAATAATTTTATATCTAATATTTAGCTTCTTCAAAACTAATTAATTATTTATACTTAAATTAAATTGAAAAAAAAAATAGAGTAATACTTCTTTTTATAACCTAAGCAAATTTGTTTACATTTTGTCTAATTTATGTTTACTTATAAAGCACATAAGGTGACACTTTTTAAATGTTCATCTGCATTTCTTCTTTCTGTTCATTCTAAAATTTTTAATTTCTTAGTGTGTTTTCTGGCTATCATTTTCTTCTCTTCTAGTTATGTTTAAATACAAATCTGTTAAGGTGGTCTGTTGTCAGTCAATTACATAAATTTTTATCGACATTGTGCAGGTTTGGTTTTGTGTCTATCATGGAATATTATAGCTGTTACCACAGCCTGGATCAAGGGAGAAGGTTGGTTCTGGAAGTTACATAGTATATTATTTGTAATTTTTATCGTGTATCTCATGTCATTTCCTGTATTTCTCCTCATCTAGGTCCAACAATTTGGTTTCTTGCAATTATATACTTCATATCTGGAGTTCCTGGAGGTTATGTGTTGTGGTATCGCCCCCTGTATCGTGCTATGAGGTATTATTTTAGTTTCTTCATCTTCGCCCTCATCTTCGCTTGTTAAAAGTGCTATGTTATTTGCAATTGATTACAAGTGAATGTGATGCATGAATTTTTGCTGTCCATGAATATATAATTTCTTCATGGACCTATTTGGACCCCACAGATGGATAGTTGAAATTCTACTCTTCCAATGAGTTTGATGTAGTTGTCTTTTGTCTACCTTCTAAACTGACATTACTTATTGTTTGAAATATTAAGCAAGCAATAAGTATATTGAAGTTCCTATGCATGCTAAATATCCAAAAGTAGCAAAAATGGAAAATATTTCTGCTGAAACTGTTTTGTAGTGAAATATTGTCTCATAGAAAAATATATTGTGATGCAGGATGAGCATAAATTTTTCTTCTCTTTCCTGATGTCTTTAGGTGTATTTGACTCTGATTTGATTTTATTACTTTTACAGGACAGACAGCGCGTTGAAGTTTGGGTGGTTTTTCTTGTTTTACATGGTAAGCTCATCACCAAGGTTGTTAAACTTGAAAGTTTATGTAAAATTGTGTTGGCCGTGAAATCAGAATCGTAAAATCGAATTTGTAAAATCGAGAGTTTACCAAGTTTAGCATATAATGAATAAAAATACATAAAATAACATGAAAGTCATAATTGTGAACAATTAAATACAAAAAAGGGAAACTAATATACACCCCTAGTTAGAAAACTCCTTTAATATACCTTACCCAAGTCATAATTAATCCCTTATAAGCAAGTTGTCCTGTTGTCTAGATACAAGTCTTGTAGGCCAGGTCTAGGATTTGGGGCCAACAGTTAAGAAAATTAATACCCTTGAATGCACTAGACTGATGTGGGGGCTGTGCCCTTCAGATCGCTTGTGGAATTATCCAAACTGAAAAATAAAAAGGAGGAAAACTCATTTAATTAGAAGTGTTTACTTTTTTTAATATAACTAAAGAAAATGCTATAGTTACAATGCCACGTGGCATTATAAGCTTATAACATGATGTGTCATTATATAATTAGCTTTTTTCATTTAGTGGTTCACCCTTGATATTATATGCATCCACTCGTTTAATGTTGGTAATATTCATTTAGTATCACGTAGAGTTGTAAGCTTACAATCCTATGTGGCATTGTAACTATAGCATTGCTGTATAACTAATACATGTACAAAACAAATAGAACTAAAAAATGTTGAAATAAATTTCTTTCTTTCTTTTTTTTCACTATCATTGAATATAATTTCAAAACTCTCCTCTTAAGTTATAATTAATTTTTGTTCATGTTTTGGCAAAAAAAAGAGAAGAGTGTTAATTTTTAGCCCAAAAAATGTGTTAGTCAAGCTCAAATTTTATCATTTTAAAAAAATTTGCACTAACTAATTAAGCAATGACCAATCATGTAGTGCAATGGATACATGCATTAATCTTTGACTTTGTGGCAAATGATTGTGGGTTCAATTCCTGCTAAAGTATTTTGTAATTGGTTTGTTTGCAATCTGTAAACTTGAGAGTAAACCTGAGTTTGCAAGATTTTACGGGTTTAGGTTTTCATACCTAAAATCATAAAATTGTGTGATTTTACGAGTTAAATTGCAAGTTTGACAACCATGCTTATCATAGCTTTTTCACTTTTGAATGTTGGCCCAAAATTCTTTGGGCTGATGTTTTTATCATACCTTGCAGCTTCATATTGGCTTTTGCATCTTCGCTGCAGTTGCTCCTCCAATTATTTTCAAGGGAAAATCTCTGGCGTAAGTTTTTTTTCTTTTTTCTTTTTTTTTCCTTCCAAGGGAATTTAGTTTCTTTCTTATTAGAGAATAATTATAGCATACTATTTCCGTGCTCTATAAAATGTGGAGTTTCAGTCCAATTAGTTGGTTGACTACTTTTTAATATTAAGTTATTTTTTTGATTCTTACCAATGAGAGCAGAATCAGCTACATCATGGCTGCTTTAATTGGTAAACCATGTGTTTCCAATCATTCTCTTTGAACAATATGAATTTTGCTATTTTGCTCTGTGGCAATTATAGGACCCACTTTATTTTGTTTTTATTTATACTTTTGTACTATTGCTGATATTTATGTGTTGTTGCATGTCGTTCACAGAGGTATTTTACCTGCGATAGATCTCTTGGGCCAGCATGCTTTGGTTGGGGTGAGTTTAAAGCATTTTTTGTAACTCATCTTACAGCATTTAGAAATTTATTAAGCAACTTGGAGTTGTAGCAAGCGTTAATTGTATCATGATTTTGTGAAGTGTTACAAGGTAGAATTGGACTAAGAAATCTCTCAACTGAGTTGTTTACTGAGTTTAGCTGTTTTGTGACAATTTTCTTATGTTGTGATGTAATCTTGTTGAAGAATTTGATTTGCTTTGTATGAGATCAGAGTGCATGCAATTGCAAGAGTTGGAGACTTGGAGTAGAAATAAATACCCCTTGCACTCCTAAATTGATAATATTTTGATTTTGAAAACAAAAAAAAAAAAATGGGGAAATCCCTCAACTATTTATTTCCTTTCTGAGAAAAGGCATGACGTTATACTTTTTTTTTGGTGTGCAGATATTTTATTTTGTTGGTTTTGGGCTTTTCTGTGTTGAATCATTGCTCAGTGTCTGGGTTATTCAGGTTTGCTTATCCCTCTTCAACTTCCATTATCAGTCTAGCAGAGAACTGTACTTTGATCTCTTCTATTCTAAGTTATGTTTCTTTTCATGTGCTAAATAAATCACTCTGTTTTATTTGTGAAACAATCGCAGCAAGTTTACATGTACTTCCGAGGAAGTGGTAAAGCTGAAGCGATTAAGCGTGAGGCTGCTACACGCACTATGATGGCCGCTCTATAACCTGGACCCAGTTAGAAAAGATTGAAATTTTCCGAAGGAGTTGGATCTGCAGTAGAAAGTTCATTTCCTCAGTCCTAGCAGACCATTGCTCGTTCGCTGAGTTCATTTTCTTGATATGTTATAAGCAAATTTTTGAATGAAGAATCTTGAGAATTCTGGAGTTCACATGGGATGAGTATCAGACTGCATCATCCAGGCCAACCAAGACACTGATTTCCTATGGTTAGTTTTCTATTGTATGAAGAAAATGCTATTACCTGGTGCATTGCGTAGCCTTATTGGAGGAAAATATACATTTGATTTGTTGATAATAGATTGGAATCTGGGATTATTACGAAACAAGACCAGGAACTTGATTCCATCAATAATACCATTACCTCTATTTAAATTTGGTAGTGTTAATTTGATTTTTTAATTTTTTAGACATAAATATTAGATTAAAATTAATATATTAAATTTATTTTTTAATTAAATAAAAATACTCAATAAAAATTATTTATGGAAAAAAATTTAATTTTTGTTTGTGTAAGTTAAATTTTTATTTAAATTTTATATTTAAAAAATTAAAAAAATTTAATTAGGGCTATTAAAGTTGGGTGATGATACGAAGAATGAATACATAAAAGGATTTTACAGGACAATGACATGGCTTGGCTTCTTATTATTTTTATTTTTAAAAATTTTAATTTGAAGTTATTTTTTTACTTTGTCCGGCTCCCTGTCTCTCTCATTTCATTTTCTCTTTTATTTCCCTCGCTCATCTTCTCCATTGTTGCCTCCAGCCCCTTCTCCATGGTTTGACTTAATTCAAAACCATTTGAATTATTTGAAACTCCGTAGCCATTGTTTTTATTTCTTTAAAAGAAATTTTTTTTTTGGTACTAACCTACGTTGGACATCATATAGAAAAAGTTCACCCAATACTTGTTTTTCATTTCATAAGATTCGAACTCAAGATGTTATTTAATAGAAACCGATCTTTTTCAATTTAGATTAACAGGTCGTTTGTATTTTTTTTTTTTAAAGAAAAGTAAATCTTAAATTATTGGATGAAATTGAACCCTAAAAAGGGTATTCACTTTTTGCAAGTAAAATACAAGAAAAAATGGAGGAAGATTTGGGAGAGAAAGAAAACATAAGAATCCCATGGTATGACTCTCAACCCCATGGCCATTGTTTTAAATTTTCAAAAAAAAAAAAAAACCCTAATTATTGGGTGAAATTGAATATTAATTGATGGAAATTGAATCTTAAAAGTGGCATTCAGTCTTTGCAATAAAAGATAAATGAAAACGGGGAGGAAGATTTGTGAGAGAGAGATAATTGAAAGATATGCGATGAAGATGAAAGGAAAAAAGAGTAAAAAAAAGAAAGAAGGAAGAAGATGATTGTTCTTCATTTGAAACTTTCTTTAAAGTAATATTTTATCGAGATAACTATTATCTTATGTTCATTTTTCATTTTGGTTTATTTTTGTGGTTTCAATTATCATTATTCATTAAAGTCAAACGTAGATGGTAAAAAAATATACATTATGACTTTGCTTCAACGCCGTAACTCTTATCTTTCCTCCATCTCACGGAAAAGTTTCTACTCGATCGCCTTCGAATGGGACATGCACTGGTTTTAAGATAGGACTCGAAGCTACAATTGAAGGAGAAATTAGGAAGCTTGAAGCTGAATGGGTTCTCTTCTGGTTGTTTGCTAATCACTTCAATCAAAATTGAGTCAACTTCTCTTGACTTCAGATCCGATTTGGGGACTTTCGACTTTTTGGTCATCCTGGTAAGACCCAGTCTTCTGGTCTTTTGGTAGAACTCAATGCTCCTGTTCATCCTGGCATGGCCTACAAAACTAACCTTGAGACATATACCTTAGTGCTCAAGTCATCAATAATTTGATCATTTGGAGAGACAATAAGTGGTAGTAGAGGTAGTGAGTGATGGGTAATCTATAGGCCATTGAGTTATGCCACGTCATTATGTCACTGACTCCCGTTGACTTGCTCAGGTTTGCTCGACCTCGTAGTGGACAGGAATAGTTGAGTCCTGGTTGGTATGTCTGCCTTGTTTAGTTGGATATTGTCAGTATAGATAAAGATTGGAAGCATTGGGCCACGTAGCTTGGGCAAATCATCCTATTCAGCATTGCTGTGGCAATCTAGTTCAGAAATTCATATTCTTCACATGTGGCATATGCCCATGAATAATATGGGAGTGGGACATGTGTATTGAGCTCACCTTTGTAGTTTTACTTCAAACTTTCTCCTGCCCCCCCCCCCCTTATTATAACTTAAACAAAGGCAATGGAAAATATTACTGAAATAGTTTTATATATATTTATCAAATCGTGTGCTATGCAAATATATACATAATGCATATGTCATGCGTCCTAATAACCCTACTACAAAAGGAAATAAAGATAGGAATAATATTTATAATAATATAAAAATAATTGAATGGAGATTAATTATTGGGACACATGGCATATGCTCCCTATATATATTTGCATAGTAAACAGTTCGATAAATATGTATGAAACTATTTTAGTAATATTCTCCATTGCCTCTGTTTTAAATTCTAATAGTGGTATCAGAGTTGATTCTTTCCTTAACACCCTCCCCCTGTTTTTTTTTTTGGCCTTAATGCAATTTTTTCTTTTGAATAAAAAAAAAAACAAATACAAAAACAAAAGCTTTCCCTGGAATTTCTTGAAGAAAAAGTTAAAAACCTAATAGTATCAACAAATTTCTTTCCCACACTTGTTAATTTTAAGTACAATAATTTTTAAATTTTTATACAATATTTTTTCAACCATTTTATTAATAAACACTTTTCAAAAAATAGTTGTCTTTAACCGTTCACACTAGAATTTAAAAGGCATTCGTTTCTCCATTGTCTTATTAAAAGATTTATTATTATTATTTTCTCTTAAACCCGCGAGTGTTACTCCTTGTTTTTCAAAATTTTAACTGGACAAAGCAGGCTTCACTTTCTCTACAAGAATTTGCGTTTTTTATATACTTTTTTAGACATTAAAATTTTAGATGTTTGGATAATGGAGGTTTGGATTTTTTATCTTAATTTTAAATTTGATAATATTATAATTATAATATTGTTTCCTCAAAAATCCTCAGCCGGCCTTTACCACGTGAGTTAGATGTTAGGCGTGCCACTTGCTTTGTCTAAAAACAAGAAAATAGGATTTTTCAGACGGCCCTTCTCCTTTCCAGCGGTCGACCTCCAATAGGATGGCTGGAAAGAACGTCTGTGAAATGAATTGCGCCCCAAACGATGTTGCAAAATAGAGGGTAGAGCTCTGCAAAATGGGTTACTAATTGCCTTGGAAACCTCCAAGGACTTCACAACCAAACAAGTGTAATAAA